TAGATAGATAGATAGATAGATAGATAGATAGATAGATAGATAGATAGATAGATAGAAGATAGTGAGACACACAGACAGAAATGCTGTAAGCACTTAGAGTCATGTGATTGAACCAGCAGGAAAGCATTGGTAATAAATACAGTAAATACATTCTTTCAGAGTGCTATCATATGTCCTCTCAGCCTTCTTACCTAGTTCCCTTAAGCCCTACACTTCCAGTGTAATTATTCATAAATACAGTAAATACATTCTTTCAGAGTGCTATCATATGTCCTCTCAGCCTTCTTACCTAGTTCCCTTAAGCCCTACACTTCCAGTGTAATTATTCTAGTTCTTAGTATACCATAATCTATTTGGAAGTAAAAATTGCATCATAAAATATGTTTTATGCCATGTTAAACCAGAAATCAAAATTAGGAAGAAAATTGTGGTAAGAGAAATATCGTTGTGCCACATGGGAACTTGACTTGGACATCTTAGCTTTCATTCATTCATTCATTCATTCATTCATTCATTCATTCATTCATTTATTTATTTTTAGGAGATAAACTATTATCCCAAAACAGACCCTGAAATTCAATTTTCATGACAGTCATCTGAATGCCAGATGGACCAAACATGATACAGGCCAATTGCTATGATATTGATAAATGTAACTAAGAGATTTCCCATAAGATTTATAATATTTTCACATCTACAAGATTCCACAAGCTGAATGCAGGTATGGTAGGAAAAAAAAAAAAAAGAATGATATAGATATCATTGTTATTCTAGGTTGTTGTTTTTTTTTTTTTTTGCTTTTGCAGAAGGAAATCAAACTCCTCCTTTAAGTTATTACCAATTAAAATATGATAATGCAATTTTTAAAAATCCAGATAAGAGGTAAAATGGGCTCAAAAACAAAAGGTTAATCATAAAAGTATGTAACCGTTAGCAAAACTGAGAAAAGGTAAAGCTTAAATTACAAGCAATTCGCACCAATCTCATAATTCTATTTAAAAAAAGAATAAATGAGAGTGTGAAGTTCAGGCATTTTCTATATCCTACACTTAGTGATATACCAGAAAATGGGAGAGCCAGGAGGGCAGTCATGCTTGATACTTAATGTTCAAGAAAAAGGAGAAAGAAAACCAGTTGCCAATTCTGGCTTGAACTCTTGAACAAAAAGTTGCAATTTAAACATTCATTGTCAAATTTGACAATCTGACATTTATTCTAACCAATTGTAAATTAGAACTATGACAGGTTGCTTTGCAAAGTATCCCCTCTCCTTTTCAAATGTTTGCTAGCCAATTATATCAAAATACCTTAATAAATGAGTTATACATTCATGTATTGATTGAATTGATTCACCATTTATATTGTTTGGCCTCTAAGACCTCAAGGCTGATTAGATGGGGGTTTTCAATGGAGTTTGGGTTGTGAGGGAGAACAACCATCAAAAGTCACAGAAGGAGCTCCATAGTTGAATGGTGACTTGAACACATTCTGTATGTTCAATACCACAACCAATACACTATACTGGTTCTCTTTGATACATTTATATAGATGACTATATTGCTGTTTGTGTGTTTGTGAATACTTGCCTTTGAATCTGTCTTGACTCCTACCTGATATATGGACAAGTCCATGGCTTTTCTTGGCAACAATTTTCAGAAGCAGCTTACATTGCCTTTTTCCTATCTCTGAAAGAGAATGACTAGCCCAGGTTTCCCAGCTCCCTTCATGCCTAAGGCAGAACTAGAACTTATGGCCCACCCAGTTTGTAGCCCATTTCCTGTTCTGTCCTCTCCTGTCCTCTCCTGTCTTGTATCCTGTAGGTTATGTTTAATTAAATAAATAAAGGGAAGGAAAAAAAATGTCTGCAAGTGACTTCCTCTAAAATGGATAAAAAAATAGGCCAGGAAAATCCTTCCACAGCCTGCTATAATATTTTTTCTCCAACTGGATAGGAAGGTCAGCTGCTGGCAATTATTCCACAGACAGATGGTGAGTGAAAGGGTTAGGAAGGGGTTAGGAGAAAAGGCTATGTAAGTTCAGAGAAGTTGTATAAAACGACTGTGATGGAAGACATGAGCGAGAAGGTCCAAGGTTTTTCTCCCATTTTGACTTTTATATTACATACGTTCCGGGGTCACGTAACTTGTTGCCGGATGCACTTTCACGGAAGCCAGAGTATGTAGCAGAGCAGCAGCCACCGCAGCACGCTGTAATCTTGCAGCCCAGTAACTTTTAAGACTTGGACAGGGGTGGAGCTCTGGAGAAGTTGGTGGCAAGTCAGCAGGCGGAAGACCTAATTGCTAGGATAAAGGCGCAACAGTTGCAGGACCCTTTCATGAAGGCCCAGATGGATGGCCAGGGCACCCAGCAGGGCACAGGTTCCCCCTTTTCAATGGAAGGGGGCAGCTGCGGCACAAGGGTAGGTTGTATCTTCCCGTGTCGCTATGAGAGGAGGTCTTGCAGCTTTGCCACAATAATGAGACAGCAGGCTACAGAATGGTTTTTAAGACTCTATAGGACTCTGAGGGACTATTGGTGGCCAAAAATGGCTGCAAACATTAGAGACTATGTTGCATCTTGCCATGTGCGGAGGTGAGCTAAGCCTCTCCATGGGAGGTTTGCTGGGCTATTGCAGCCTTTAGACACCCCCCCTCCCCCCAAGACTTGGGATACAGTGTCAATGGACTTTATTACTGCTCTCCCTCCAGTGAAGGGTTATACATCTATGCTGGTGGTTGTGGACTTATTTACTAAGATGGCTCATTTTATACCATGCAAGGGGCTACCTTCTGCTCAAGCCACAGTGCAGCTCTTTTTGGATCACGTGTTCAGATTCAGAGGAATGGTTAATCGAATAAAAACAGACAAAGGCTGCCAGTTCTCTTCTAAGTTCTGGAAAACCCTCTTTGGCTTACTAAAGGTCCGCATTCATATGTCTTCCACTCACCATCCTGCTACCAGTGGGGAGGCAGAGAGGACCCACCAGGTGTTGCAGCATGTTTGCGGTGCTACACCACCTACAGCCAAGACAATTGGACTGCACTTCTTCCCTTGGCAGAGTTCTCCTATAGCAATTTGATGCACTCATTGACTGGATGTCCCCTTTTCAGGCGCTGTACGGGGTGAACCCACAGGTGTTACCAGAACCTGTGCTACAAGGAGGGGTGCCGGGTGCAGCGCATTTTCTTAAAAAGCAGCAGGCAGCTCAGCAGCTGTTGAAAGACCAGCTGGCAAGGGCAAAAGAGGTGTACTTGAGATCTGCTGATGCCCACAGGCAGAGAGGTCTGCAGATATGAATGGGGGACAAGGTATGGTGGTCTAATAGGTTCTGACCAGGCCCTCTAGAAAGTTGGACTTTTGTTTCGTTGAGCCTTTTAAAGTGTTGCAGCAAGTGAACCAGATGGCTTTCCATTTGCAGCTCCCGCCTTCAGTGAAGGTCCATCCTGTGTTTCACCACTCCTTGCTAGTTAAGGAGGCTCCACCAAGTCACTAGAGAACACAAGTTCCCCCACCCCCACTGGTCATAGTCGAGGGAGAAGAGGAATACGAGGTGGAGGCAATTTTGGACTCTTGCAGGAGAGATAGAGGACTTCAGTATCTAGTTCATTGGAAAGGCTATCCTGAGGCAGAGAGTTCCTGGGAGAATGCAAAGAATGTCTATGCCCTTGCGTTGGTCAGTGACTTCCATTGGCATTTCCCCAGCAAGCCGAAGCCTTGGATGCTGCCCGGGGCTCCAGAGGTTAAATAGCAAGCAGAGGCTATTGACAGCGAGCTGGAGGAAGGTTTGGTGGGGGCCTTCAGGTGGGAGAGGTCTGCCATATGGAGCCCACAGCCTTCCACTTCCGGGTTGTATTATATAGGGGGGAGGGGGGCTGATTCTACTAATGCTGTAGCTGTTTTGCAGGGACAATCAAATGAGTTGGGGGAGGTGCCAGGAAATGCAGACAGAGCCTCATCACCTATGCTTTCATCTTTGCTGCCACTGCCCAGCTCAAATGAGAACTCAGAGGGAGAGGCTGAGTATAAGGAAGGGGGGTGATGTGATGGAAGACATGAGCAAGGAGGTCCAGGGTCATAGGGAGGGGGAGAGGAATCCCAAACATCTCCTCAGCCCTCAACCAGAGCATGTGAAAGTAAAGTGAGGGAGACTGGCACCACCCTAAGGAATTCAGAGAGTTGAGTTGCTGTCCTTGGAGGTTAGAGTTAGTTTGGTGAGATTCTGTCCAGTAGGTGTAAGCTAATAAAGTAACTGAAATGTTCCTGATTTCTCCTGCTACGTTTCTTGGGCTGAACCTGAAACCAACTGGGATATATCGATATTGGGCATACCTACATGGAACATTTAAGCTGCTCAAGTGTTGTGCCCATGCTGGCTTAAGATAATATCTGAATACATGATACACTTGCTGAACAGGTTACCAAACTGAGCTCTACGCAGAAACGTGCCTATCAATTTTCCATTTAGTTAAATTAAAAATAAAAAGTTTAATCCAATTAATTTGTTCATGTCTTCTGTTTCTAATACTGGTTTTGGAGTGGGCAGAACTATTATTGATCATCAATATGACAGAGAACACACACTGTCCCCTGCAATTAGCAGAAGGGCTACAATTACTTCTGTAGCCTTGAAATTCCCTTTGGGGATTGCTATGGCCAATAACAAAATGAACAAAAGCATCTATAAAGGATGCTATAAATATATCTCCAAACACCCCAGCATCATGATATCTAATTGAGAAGGCATAATTTGTCTTTTTTCTTATTTATTCATTTATTTGTCTTCCAGACTATCAGCAAAGAGGGCACCCATTCAAACCCGGCTATTGTGATTGTGAACGTTCTCCTAATGGTAGAATAGCTGCAAATAGAGAACTGTCTGCAGCAAACTCATTAGCAACCAGAATGATGCTCTTAATGCTATTGCTGCTGCTCCCTGATATAGGATGCAAGGTTGGACATGCTCAATGTGGGACACAGCATGCTCAGATGATTGTTCCCAAGTACTATCAGTCAGGAGATTTCATCTACGGAGGCATTGTTTATCAAACTGCCTTCTATATGAATCCATACAACTTTCACAAATATCCTTCTGGGCCACCTTTGGGAAAAATGTTTGTATAAGGATTTTTTCACTACAATATGGAAGTGAACACCTCACCTGTGATCCTCCTTGACAAGGTGCTTCACCTTATAGGGGCAGTTGCTGTGACTT